TAGAAAAGTATTTAATATATATGGAATGTGAGAGGGGAACTTAAGATCATCAGAGAGAAACCTCCAGAAAACAGTTTCTTAGGAAAAGGAAAAAAATATTGTTTCTTGGTAGACAATGGTATGAATCTGAACATAATGAAAACCACAAGGTAATTCTTAAAAATGAAATTGGAGTAACCTAATGAAAAGGAATATCAGAAAGTTACGCTTTGCAATAAATTGCTATGAATGGCAGGTCCACAGACAAATGCACCCAATCCTATAATCTAGGATGCCATATTTCCTCCCTTGTGCCATTAAAATAGTTTCCTATCCATGCTGTATTCCCACCTTGAACCTTTACAATACAACCAGACTTGGCAGTTCGATGTGCAAAAGAGCAATAGCCTGGGAGTCAGGAGACTCTGATTCATTCACGACTCTGCCTTCACGTAGCATTTAACTTCTCTGTGTCTGAGTCTTTTCATCTCTTAAATGTGACAGTTTGACAAGTCGGTCTCCAAGATTCTAAGGTTCTTGCCTTTAAAGATTTCACTGTCATCTTCGCTGTAGGGTGCCCTAGGCCTTGGAGCCAGGAGTGCTTCTGGTTAAGGAGCCGCACCCGTTGCCCATGTTGGCTCATTTTCTGCTCAGAGAATTCGGCACACAGAACATCACCACCACCAGCGTTCTTGGTTTTCGCCATGATGAGAGGCGCTAGCTCTTGTGGCAGGGAAGAAGTGAGGGAAGCCCATGCGGCAGAGTCTTTAGGGAAGGGGGAAAGTGGTTTTAAGGAAGGAGCATGAAAGCAGAGGAAAAAGGGAGCAAGGTGGAAAGAGTAATTGAGCATCCAAGAAAAATCTGCCACTGTTCAGGGATCATGATTATCGCTGGATGGGAAGGAAGGAAAGGAGAGAGGAAGGAAGGAAAGGAGGGAAGAAGGACACACCAAACTGACAAAGAGGAGAGGAAGGTAAGGCAGAGCTGGGAGCTTGGCCAGGTAGGTGCCGGGTCAGGGGAGTAGCGATCTACTTTCTTCTATCTCCATTTCCACCTCCACTGCAACACACACCTCAAAACCTAAAAAGACAAAGGTTGTGAGAGACAGTGACCCACACAATGGTGTTCAATGCGGACCAGATTGCCTTTTCACATCTGATATTCTATTCAGTGAAATAGCCCAATTTTGTTTTTGAAGAGAATGCCAACTTCCCTTTTCCTTCCCAAGAGAATTTGCTGTTTTCATTTGGTATCTTGAATAGTCCTTGCTGCTGCAAAAGGTAGAGTTCACATTTATTTTTAAAAAGTGCTTATTTCATGTAGTTTGACACAAGAACAGTATTTTAGCTGGGAGCCTGGAGCCTCAATTGATTTTGAGCAGACCTGGTGCTACTGACAGAGTGCTTCCCGCTGGGGCTCCTAGAAGTAGAAATTCAGCTGACCACAAGACACGCCAGCATCTATCAAAGGAGCAGGTGGCAAAGAAACTGAAATATGATGGGGGAGCCTGAATCTGAGCTCCAGCCCATGCTTTGATGTAAAGTCATTGTTTGATCTTGAGAAAGTCAAACTCTCTGATCATTAAACTCTCTTTTTTTCATAAAAGAGATGGAAAAATATCAGTACTTATTTCCTCAAGGATGTTGCAAGTTTCCATCAATCTTAGAAATATACATTGTTTTAGTACCTATGACTTTCTCTTTCCTGATAGTCTTCATCAAATCAGAAGACATACTTTCCTCTCATTTTGGAAAAGGTTCAAAAATTACTTTACCTTAATATCTCATTTTCAATTCAATTTGAAGAAAGTCAAATACATTTCAACAATATAAGGAGAGATTTTACTGCATAGAAATTGGGGAAAATGAAACATCTTGAAATGTTACTTGGTCTTCAAGAGAGAGACTATAAACATTCTAGTACAGATGTCTTTTTTATAGAATGTCTTTTGTTCTTTTGGGTAGATGCCCAGTAATGGGATTGCTGGATCAAATGGTAGTTCTACTTGTATCTCTTT